ATCATGATGATGAAAAATTATTGGCGATTCGTAATAACTATTATAATGATTAGCTGAATAATTTAAGTTTGTGGTCACGTTTGAATATTGAGGTCCAATGGTTGGTCATTATCATTAGGGTTTGATTAAAATTATCAGTTAAACTAATTGATTATATTTATTTGGAGTGCAATCAATTGGGGGTAATTTTAATTTCCAGGATAATTTTGAGGGATAATTACTGAGGGATGATTATTATTGATAATATAATAACTGATAATCAATCAATCAATGAGATAGTTTTCAATTCATAACAGTTTAAGCTTGGATTCACCTAACTGATTATCAGAGTGATCAATAGTTTTAATCAATGATTAACAATTTACTTTACATTATTTTTTTGTGTGTTAATGATTTTTTTTTGTAAATCAAATGATAACAATTATGATTAACTAATTTTTTGTTTTATATTTCAACTGTTGTGTATCAACAATACAATTGACCAGTGCACTGGACAATGGTCAAGGATGGTTAGATTGTGGTTATGTTTTTTTTCAGTATGAGTTGTATGTGTATTCAAATGAGTGATTAAGATTTACCATGAAATGAATGGACAATGGGAAGGGTCAGTGAAATCAGTGGACAATGAATTGCATCATTGAAGATACAGGATGATGATGATAATCTAGTGAGGTAAAGTGAGTGAGATATTGTTGACGCGTGTGTATTTATCTTCCCTTAGTCATAATGATAAATAAATAGACCAATGTCCAGTTTAGAGAGAGAGAGAGAGATAACTTTTGCTTGACCGTTACTTTTATCTCTCTGATTTTATCATGACAATAAAAACTTTTTTGTTTTCGTTTTTCATGTTAAACGATTCAATTGATTTCATTGGGTTGGTAATAAATTCAACCAAGTGGATAAACACAAAGGTTCAGTTGGAGGAGGAGATTGAGGTGGACAGTCGGGTCAATCTGTTATCCAAATGTTATACCACAACAACAATCAAAAACATTTCATTAATTATCAATATGAAATGAAAAACTTGGCGATAATAATAATAAGGTCAGGTTAAAGTTCTGGATAATTTCATCAATAGTAATTTTAACACTAAATGTATGAGATGATTAATTCATTAAGATCACTCTGATTATCAACAATTAGTCTTGATTTTTTTTAATCATTTAACAGTAAACGAAAAGGTTAGTTAATTGTCATGTTAATCAAAATGATTTCATGTTAAATACTTGAAAATTCATAAACTCAGTTTCATTTGTAAATAATATCATCATGTAGATATTGTGGTTAACCGGTGGTTGGTATTATTATCAAAAAAGATGAAGAGGTGGAAATATAATATTTGCGAATTCAGAATGAGTGAGTAAGTGAGAGAGAGAGAGAGAGAGAGAGAGAGAGATTTCTTTCTCTTTTCGATTTCAAATGTCCAAATATTTACTCTCGAAAGTCCAACAAGTAAACATATCAGAACTTTTTTTGTTCAGTTAAAAGATTGGAAATTTTCACCCAACACCTAATTTATTAATGTAACTGTGATTCTAGGTTTGAATATGAATATTTGTTTATATTATCATCATGATTCATAAATGATAATGAAACCATTGGTGAAATTTATTCATTGAATTCAGGGATCATCATGATGAAGATATTATTATATTGTGATGTTATTTTTTTTTTCTCAAATAAAATGATTTTATCTTTTGCTTTTCTATTTTTTTTATATTTTCTTTTGGTGTCTCTTATATGAATTGGAATGAATTTTTATCTTCTTCTTATTCTCTATCAACATATTCATTTGTGATGATGAACATTTATCATCTTAAATTTATCTGAATGATTTTCTGTTTATATTTTTTGTTCGGGTGAAAATTGAATAAACTTTGAAAGAGATACTCAGGAATCTGATAGTTTGGTAATAAATTAACTTGACCATCTCAATTCACTTTATATCATTGGGTCATTATTGTCATCTTTTCATTATTGAAATTGAATTTCAAAAGAAATCGTATCATGGTGATGATAATGATCATCGTGATGATGAGTGAATATCTTTCAGTAAACTGAATGGTTTTCATCATGGTGGTGATAATTTAAGACTTTTCCCCATATATAAGTTGGAGGTCAAGTTCAATCGAGGGCCTGAGATGGAAGATGAGAACTTGGATTCTCATCTAATCTTCCTCGTCTTTTACTATTCCAACATGAGAATATATTGACTTGGATAATCAAGATGAAGATGAAGATGAAGATTTGACATTGATGAAGATAAATTTTTGTAAACTTAATGTTGAACAAACGGAAGCAACTTAACTGTAAATTTGATCGTAAAGTATATTGTTACAATTAACTATTGGTTTCAAATTACTTTGAGAAACTGATTGTAAGTTTATTTTTTGTTTCCATGAAATCATTGATTAAATAATTTTACAATCAGATTAACTTGATGATCCATAATGATTAGAATTTTGTTTTTCATACTTTCTTTTGCTGGTCAATTGATTTACCTCTGATGATTGTTTTGACTGATGATGATTGACCACAACACTTTAATCAGATTACCTGTTTAATATGTAAAAACTGATTTCTACAACAATTTGATTAGTTGATTGAATATGATTATTTGTAAGGTGTATTTTCCCAAAGGTTTTGGTGTGATTGTTATGTGACAACAAGTTAACAACAAACAACAACAAGAGGGATAGAAAACAAATCTAGTACAAATAACTTTCTCCTCTCTCTCTCTCTCTCTCGGATTTTTTTCAATGTATACACATCATCCTCATCCCCAGATAGCATAGTATCAGCAGAGTAACTGAAGCATCATCTCAACAAGATCAACATCATCATTATCATCATCAGTTGATGTCCAAATCAAATTAACCATGCAACAAGAGAGAGAGAGAGAGAGAGAGAGAGAGAGAGAGAGATTCTCCACCAGGAATGTTATTAGCATTATTATCCTAGACATGTTATGCTGATACAGATGAGGGTGAGGATGATAATGGTAAGAGAGTCTATGGAAAAGATGAAGATAAAAAAACTCAAGGAAGCAAATGAGTTCCTTTTGGAGAGATGAATGAAAAAAACTCATGTGAACATGAGGTTGATCACAAACCCTTTGATGAGAAACATGAAACATTTAAACAAAGGGAAAAAGAGGATGAAGGTGGAGTGGGAGACTAGAGAGGTGGTGGAGATGGAGGAAGCAAGATGCTGATGATTATAATGATATTGATGATGATGATGATAATAATAATAATGATGAAAAGATGAAGGCAAAAGTGCAAAGATGAATATATGACATTGAAGGGTTACTTTGTATTCTTGTGAATGGAAAAAGTTTTCTCTCTCTCTCTCTCTCTCTCTCTCTCTCTCTCTCTCTCTCTCTCTCTCTCTCTCTCTTCGTCTTTCGTAATTTAATCAATTGGGATTTTGATTGTTAATAATAATGATTATAAATTCATCGGATCGGGAATTGAATGTTCAAGGTTAACTTATAACAATTAGAGTTTTGATCATCATCGATTGTGATTCAAGAGTCTGATGATGATTAGGAGAGAAAAGATAATCAACTCAATGGAAAACTTTTTTTTCTGATTATCTCCCTTGTCTAATCAACGGGTTCGAATTAATTAAATTATTTGCTGATCAGAATTTGAGTTTTTTTCCCTCTTCTCTTAGATTCGAGAGTTAATTTAGTTCTAGTTTTATTTTTCGACATCTTATTTATCATTTTCAATAAGAATCTGATTTTACCGGTTAACAGAATTTAATCTTAATTGAAGAAACTTTTTTCTCATTCGAGTTCATTTTTCTTTATTAAGTTTACATTTTATGTTTTTTTTATTCTTGAAACATATAAACCCAATTAATAATTTTGCTAAATTGTAATTAGTTGAACATTCGTAAGACTAAATATATTGCACGATAATTGTAACAATCAGTAGAATTAAAATTAGCTTTGATTTCGTAGTAATATTATGAGAGAGAGAGAGAGGAAAAAAAAATTCGAAACTTTTTTTGTTCGATTTTTTCTTTTTATTTCTCAAAATTCACCAAGAGTTTAAATCAACAAACTGAATGATCAACTTACGCTGGAGGGCAATTAAATCTGACAATTAGATTTTCCTTCTTGTACAATAATCAAATAGAGAGAGAGAGAGAGAGAAAAGTAACAAAAAACATTTACACTTTCATCTTACATCTTCAATCTTAATCTTCATCATCTTCGCTCATCATCCTTGTCTCTCTCTCTCTCATCCGCAGGGCTCACCGAGGATTCTTAATGCAATTGCCCCAATTACGGAGTTTTTTATTCATTAGATAAAAACAACCAACACTATATCTTAATTATTGGTTTATATTCACTTTCAATCAGTCTCTTACCTCCTTCTCATCATCCTCCTTCTTTATCATCATCATCATCTTCCATTATTATCTTCCAATCATTTTTCCTTCTCCCTCGAATGTTTGACAAAAAAAACCCTTTTACTCTTCGATTCTGATTCTGGTTCCTCCTCGAATTTGAACATGTCGAGAGATGTTGTAGATTTTTTTTTCTACTCCTGTTTTACATTTATCATCCAACTGTTTCACTGTAAATGAAGATGATTAGAAAGACGAAGGATGATAATGATGATGAATCTTTCTTTTCTCTCTCCCTGAATCACTTTTATTTGATAACATGATTGTTTAACTGTTTTTCTTTCTTTCTATTGTTTTTACTCTTTCTTTTCTTTCTGTCTATTAACATTTTCTCTCTCTCTTGCTCTCTATCAAGAAACACTCAATTTCTTTCTGTGCATATCTAATTAAAGAAAAGCAGATTCTTCTTGAGTTAATTTGTCTATATTTTGTTTCTTCTTTTTTTTTATCTTCATCATTATCATCCTTTAGTCTTTCTTTTTCCTTCTTCATTTCCAAATCAAGATTTCATTCGGTTTGCTTTCCATTGTCTTTCTTGTTCGAACTTTACTTATTCCATTATTTACATTCGAATATTTTTCTTCTTCTTCCATTGAATATCATCTCTTTCTTGTCTTCCTTCGTCTTTGATTTTATTCTTTCACTTTGTTTCTTATCGTCGATTCTCTTTGAATATCATTAATTTTCCATCTTCTCCTTTTGATCTGACAATCTTTTTTATCCTTCATCTTTTCTGAACAATTTTGTTTTTCTCGCTGGAAGTTGATTCAATTCTGTAACCGTTGATAACTGTAAATCTAATGAATGAATTTTTCGCCCTCTCGAAAGGTTAACGAAAATGGCAAAATGAAAGTTCATTTTCTTTATTAAAATATCATCTCTCCAGGTAAATATAAGATCATGTTAGTGATTTAATTTGGGAAAAGTGTTTGTGTAATCCGTTTACTTGGTTGACAAGCTTTTGAATTGCTTCACTCCTGAAAGGTAAAGAGAGAGAGAGAGACAGACAGAGATGAGAAGGTAAACAATTAGAATTAACATTTAAATGTTTAAGATTTAAATCTAATTTAAAATACACTTACTGAGATGTTAAAATCTTTTTAACTGCAGCCGTTTGATGAGAAATTATTGATGATTGACGTTTTCGTTGGATATCATTTTCTCTTCCTTCGAAAGTTTCATTTTCTTTCAGCTCATTTTGATACTTATACTTGAGTTGAACTTGATCCAAACGATTTCGATAACTGTTAATGGTTGAAGAGATTTCATTCAATTCCTTTTGACAAGTACGTTCGGCTTCCGATAAATGATTTTGTCGCGTTTGAACTGTTTCCAATATCTTTTCAACTCGATGAGAAAGTTTCTCTTGACGTTCCAATGTTTCATCAAATTTTACACTTGTCTCTTTAATTGAGGAGATGATTGAATCTTTTTCTTTGGACAATTTTCCAATCTCTTCAAGTTGTAATTTTTTATTCGAAACTAGAGTTGATGCTCGTTTAATCAAAATTTCGGTCGCTTTTTCCATTCGAGCGATATATTCTTTCCTTAGGATATCGGTTGTATTGAGTAACATTTGTAGACAATCGGCTTTGTTTGGTTCCTTGTTGGGCTCCGATTTGATGTGTGGTGCATTCATTGTCCGTTTAAGAATTTGGTTAATGTGAATGGTAAAACTAACGGGATCATCTATCGATACTTTTAGCTCACAATCACTTGTTATACTTTTATATTTATAGTTGATTGATGATAATCTTTGGGTTAGTATCTCACCGGAAGAAAGTAACACTCCAACTGAATAATAACCTCGCCTTGCAACTAGAGCAACGCCTAAGGGAATGCACATAGGAATACATGAGCTAGATGTTGATATTGGTTTGGTACAGATTAGATGTTCAATTATACTTTGCTCGGTTTCATCAAGTGAAACAAATTGTGATGATTTAAGACGATTTAGAAATGGTATATTGACAATGTGTATACCAGCTTCGTGAGAGCAAAAATATATCTGAGGATTAACTGAAGGTCGAATTAGTTTTAAAGGTGAACTATCATCATGATCACCGCTTGAAGTAAGAGATAATACCAATTCTAAACTTTCAACGACAAAAAGTGTTGGTGGATTGAGAAATATTTTGGATAGGCCAGAGTTTACATCACCAATGTAACTAATATTTCCACGGGGTTTATGTCGAGAGGAGGAAGATGATGAAGCATCGTTTTGGTGAAAATTATCATCGGCAAATGTATTAGAATGAACTTCAACAAGGTGAGCATCAACGGAATCAGTTCCAGAATCATAGTTATCGGGATTTTCTAAGGCTAAACAATGATAGATCATCCCGGAACATGTTGCGATTACTAGTAGAGTTGGAGCACAATCGAGACAAATAATGGATGAAGCATCAACTCCATAATTATCTTCGGCTGGAGGTCGCATGGTCAATGGGCCAAGAATACGTTTAGAAATGTAAGTATTGTGAAGATCATTGTAAACCAAAAGGACGTCACCATTTCCTCTTAGAACGTAGATTGGCCAAATGCAAGAGTCTTCTTCAATTAGGTTAGAATTATTTGAAGATTTTTGGTTAGACATGTTAATTGTTGACGATGATGCGAAGGTTTCATGGTGAAGATTACTACTTTGAACAATTCGTTTATCAATTGGAAGACCAAAGTCAAAGCTAACAGCGGTTTGACCAAGAGATGATGCAAATTTTGATGATGAATATTTTAAATCGCCATTGGTTGGATCACTCAGTCTAATCTCTGCGAGACAAACTTGAGGAACCGAAACATCATAAATACTGTAGAAGAGTATAAACAGAGAAAGAATTAGAAAAATGAATATAAGACAGAGATAACTATTAATGTAATTTGAGATTAGAGGAGTTATCTTCTTACCGAATACAATCATCATTGGTTAAAACTGCAATATGAGCTGATCCTGATGGCGAACCTGGATGCCAACGACTCTCAGCCACAGTGATTTGTTGATAGCAAACGAAAAATCTTTCAGCGAGACAAACGGTTCTAAAAGAGAATAAACCAAATCATAATTAGAACCAAATAATGTTTATCAATGAATTTTTTTGGAAATTATTCCAAATGTTTTCTTCTTTACCTGCAAAGTATAGATACTTTTCCACCTTCATAGGCATTCAACGGACCAAATTTTCTTGGCAATTCCATGATATTTATACCTCTTGGTCCTTGAAGAGCGATGTATCTTCCATCAAGGACATGATAATCGAATCAACATCGAATAAAGGAGCATTGGTAGGAATCAGATTCTATAAGAAAAAAAAGAAGAGAAAATTTTTTTATCAAAATAAGAGGCAAAGGGCAAGCATATAGAGAAAAAAGAAGTTGATTAAAAACTAAATTACCTGAACACTGATTAGCTTGAAATCTCTCATAACAAGACAATAAATTTGCTGGGTTTGATTGTCCCAAATACAAAGTAAATTGTCATCGAAAGTAATCAAATTAGCAGCCCCTCGTTTACCATCATAAAAATTTTTTAAATTGACAGACAATTTTTCCAATCTTGGATCAGTTAGAAGTAAATTGTCCCACATTTCACCATTATAAAGGTCACTCTCAAGTCCTAAACGAACCATGATTCCAATAGATAATAAAATGAAAAACAATTAATCTAAATTAGAATAAAAAAACGAACACAATTAAACAGCAATTAGAGAGAAAATAATCAAATTAATTTGGAAAATGAGAAAATAAAATCAAAACAACAACCGTTAATTTCTATCGCCATCTATTGGCAGAAAGAAGAGTAATTCGAAAAAAGAACAAAAATTAATTAATTTTCTTCTCAAAGAATTGATTGTTTATCTTAATTAAATATTTTCATCGTAATTTAAGATGAAAAATTTAATAAATTAGCCTTGGCTGGTCAGTTCGGTTCTTAAATTGTTCGAAAACAATTGTTTCCAATTTTTGGTCGAAAATGGTATTTGAAGTTGGCGGTTTTCTTTTTTCGGTTTAAATGTTTGAGAGAAAATTTTCTGTTTCTTTTTGCCGATTGTGATTTTCTGATGGTTTTCAGTTCGTTAATTAGTAATTAACTTAATTCTTTTGATTGTTCGATCTCATTTTGTGTTAATTAGTCGTTGAAACTTGATAATTTTCTGTGGATTTGGTTCATGATTTACTGAGTCATCAATTTGAGTCGTTTTATAAGTTAAAAGTAAGTAAATGTTTGGCTTTTTTCCTCTTTGTTTTGTTATCATTTTACTTTAATTGTTGATTGATTTTGTTTCTTTGACCTTATGATTGGTAATTATATTATATTATTGCGAGTCTTTCATTTGGTCTATAGATTGATATTTATAAGCTATTGTTAAATTAATTAATTTGCATTTGATTGAGTTAGTGCAACGAATCACCAACTGAGTAACTTGTTGACCATGATGAAAGAAGATTTTGATTTATGATTGTTTTTCTAATGATAATTGTTTTCTTTTTCTTTTTAATAGTATTACCGATAATTTCCCATGTAAATTGATGATTTAAAATGAGCCAGTTACAATTAATGGATCCACAATTTGAATGTGGTATCTTTGAAATCTGGAGTGTGGGGATCATCGATTCACTTATATACAGAGCTAATTGTGGTCTTGATGATGTAAGTTTTCATCTATTTTTCTAATGATTCTAATTACGCTGGTCATCAATTATGTCCTGATGATATCAAGATTTACCTTTAATGATGATCTTTAATTTGTTCTTCCTTTCTCCTTTCCTCAGCTTCCATATGATGTTGACCTGACCTTAACTCTTGACCAAAGACTGGAAAAATGTGAAAGCAGTTTGGATTTGCTTAATCTCCGAACTATGAAACCAGAATTATACGAAATTCTATTAGCTAAAACTGGTTACCTGGTGCGAAAAAACTGTTCCCATATTTGTGATCCTTGTGATAAATTAACATTTAAAACTCGATTCATTGATTTGGTATTTCTTAATGTCCTTCGAGAGAAACAATTGTTAACCGAGCCAACTGAATATTATTATGAATCTGTGGTTGATATTTTCTCAAAGGTCACCTTTGGTTTAGCATTTATCATTGATTTAATGGCTGATCAAGGATGGTATAAATTTCAATCAAAATTTCTCCGAAAATTTACCGACGATAATCAAGTTAAACTAATCAAAAAGGAACTACGAACACTATCATCTGATTTTCATCTTAACGTTTTATTTGTTATCTGGAATATTGAAAATGTTATTAATAGTGTTGACGATTTACAAGCTTTAAATGAATTCAAAGATTCTGCTGATCATTTGCTCAATCAATCGTCAATTAAGACCTTTGATTTTAAGGATAACCTGTCAATATATTTGGCGTTAATCAATGTCACTTTAGAGGAGTTTATGGTCACTGTTTCTCGACAAGCAGCTCGAATGTTGGATTTACACAAGAAACATGAAACGGAAGAATTAGTTAATCCAATTTTTACCAAAGTTAAAGTTAATCTTCCATTTATTGAAGATGTGGTCAGTTTCATTGATGAACTTGGTGAAAAATTATTCCCCAATCAACAAATAGATGACATCGAGATTATCAAGAGCTGTTTAAAGGATCCCAAAAGTGAATCTATTATTGGAATGATTGCTTCGATCAAAGAAATTTACAGTTTTCTCAGTATTCTTCAGGATGAAATTTCTTTTCCTGAACTAAAATTTGAAGGTTTCGATACATTGATGGCCGGATGGAGTGAATGGTCTCCAGCCGGAAATTTTAACGAAATGCAATGTCAAGAAGTGCTACTAATGAAACGATTCTTTGTCCAAGAACATGAAGAATCCCGTTATTTAACTTGTATCATTCTCAAATATGGATTACCCAAGTATCTTGATATTCTGGAGACAATTGATCTTGAATTTTACCTTGATCCATTTATCATATTCTACTTTTGTGATGTCTTACAAGCAACATATCAACGTTGTGATTATCGTAAGGGTGATAGAACTTTAATTGAGGAATTAACCATAATTCTTAAACGAGTATTTAACGTAATCAAGTCAAAAAAGCGAATCGCATCAATATTCAAAGCAAGAGCAAACTTTTTTGGTCTTCACAGTTTATTGGATGTGGAAAAAGCCAAATTAACACCAATCTTGCGATCAAAATCTGGTGCATTAAGATATGATCATATTCGCACTGAGATTTTTGTGGGCGCTTTTCTTTCACCTTACGAAATTCTCAATTTTATCGTTGGCGATACACTTGAACACTCTCACCATATGATTCCCTTTTTGAGTAAACTTTTCTGTACCGAATTGAACAGCCTAATGTCCTTTCCCTGTGAGACAAAGTATCAAAGTACTTTATTCGAGGCGATTATTGGTGATCGATTAACCATCTTACCAACAGATACTACAACTTCGGGGTTTTTAAAGTTAATCAAAGAAACTTTCCTGCTCCATGTTAATACTAAGAAACCTTTTGATCGAGTTGTATTATCGATTGAGCGTCTCATTCGTCACCTACTCTGGGACAGTTGTTTGGATCCTAGAACGATCGCCGTCGCTAAAGCGTCAATTTATAAACTTATTCAAAATCTGACAGATGAATATGATATCCCTTGGCCCGAAGTTGAAAAGGAACCTGGGTCACTTTTGTACAGCTTAATCACTATGATTGATTATTATTACTTGAATGGTCAATCGAAAGAGCAGTACGTTAGTTTGATCGCTTTTGTTATGAATAAAAAGGTTCGACGGAAAATCACATCGCGAGAATTAACTTGGATAATAAATCGATTCAAATGGTTGGGAGAAAGTGTCTTTCTAGTCGCTTACCTTCAACCCTGGTTGGAAGAACGTCTCAGTTTTTATCTCGACATTAAGACCTACAATCTTAGCGAGACTATCCTGACAGCGGCCATTCTTAAAGACAATGTTTGGATTCTCCATGCAACTCACCATGTGTTGGATGGGTGAGTATCTTTTCGAATATAATAAAAAATATTCACCGTTACATTTGTATTGATTGAGAAAATTTTTCCTTCTTTTTTTTTCAGTGATACTAATCCCCATTTCCATAATGGTATCTCAGCGATTTTCCGATTCCTTGTTCCAAGAGAGTATGATAATTTATTTCGATTTCTCTGTTGTCTTGATGGCATTGACGGCGCCATCTTAGATATGTGTGAAGGATTTCACATTATGGAACCCAAATACGCAACTGATTTAGGTTATATGTCTCAGTGCATGGTGGATTGTTTATATCATCATTATTTGGATTATTATAAGAATCCTGAAAAATATGATCCAGTTTTAAAGAATAAACCGCCTGTTCGTACTGAGGAGAAATTTCTGCCGCTTTTCTACCGACGGGTTTCATCGTGTCTTTTCTTGAGCGCTCCTGTTGAGGTTCGAAGAGCTAATAAATTCGAAGCATTTTTAGAAAAACTCGCGATTGAAATGGCACAAAAAGGAATCGATGTTCGTAGAGAACTGTACAATGAAGATCGTTCATACCATTACATGGCCGAAAGGATTTTGAAAATGTATCATAAAGGCTGTTATTATGAACCACCCGTGCCAAAGATTAGGCTGATACCCGCTGGAGCTCGTTGTTAACCCGATGGCGATTAACAATTTTAAACTGTCCACTGGATTTCAAGAGTTACCATTTGATGAAACTTTTTCTTTCGTGTTTTCTTTTCTCATTTCCCCAAAGATATCATCTCTTGTTAAGTCATCGATCATATTTATTTAATTTTCTTCATGTTAATCATTAACAATTAACTTTGATTCACTTGCGAAACCAAACAAAAAAACTACTCAAGTTGAGAGATCTCATTTTGTATTGCAAATTTTGCTTTTTGTTTTTCTCATATTATTACTATTTAATTTGATTACAGAAAAGTAAATGATCTCTTTTTTTATATATAATTAATTTTATATTCAAATTGTTAAAATTGAAAAATATTCAATCGATAGTTTATAGTTGTAATTGATTAGCAATTTAAATCAATTCGGTGATGGATAAAAAACCTTTCACAACAATGAAAATAAACAAAAACGATTCTCAGAAACATATGATTTGTTGACTAGAATTGAATTAAAGTTACAATTCAAATTGATTAACAATCATGGTGATATTGGTTAATTAGTGTAAATTTTGTTAATTGTGTTGATGGATGATTATCGTTCTGCAAGATACCTTCCAATCCAATCAACGTAAGAGGAAACCCGAGAGTAGAGACCTGGAAGTAAAGGTCGAGCACAACCAACACCCGTTGAAACGACGCCAATAACTGCCCAGTGGTCAGCAAGTTTGTACAATAAAGGTCCACCCGAATCACCGTGACAAGCATCTCGTCCACCTTTCTGATAACCGGCACAAATAAGATGATCATGAATAGGAAACAAGTAGCCCGATGACCGATACCAATTTTGACACTTTTCATTATCCAAAACGGACAATTTGGCCTTTTGAAGTGTATCACTATAAACTTCACTTTTCTCCGTTTGTTTACCCCAACCGACGACAACGGCCTCTTGACCAGCATAGGAGATCTCAGAAGAGGGAACACAAACCGGCCAAGCATATTCCGAGAATCGAATCTCTTGACGAGTTCGAAGTAGAGCAATATCGGCCTTACTTCCCGTCTCAGAATCAACGATTCCCGCATAATCAGTGTGAATGACAATCTTTTCAATTGAATAATCTCGAGAATGATGATCAGGCCGATAAAGGTGAAATTCACCGATTCGAGCCATAAACGATGTTGGCGATCGATTGTAAACACAATGGGCCGCCGTTAGAATCCATCTTTTAGCTATTATAACACCACCGCAAATATGATCTCCGTTACGACGAACCGAAACTGTCCAAGGAAATTCACCGTCATAGGTGTCATTTCCAGCGACAACTCGAGACTCACGGGGTATATGCTGCTTCCCGCAGCCCGCGTTTTTCCGAGGTACACCGAGGACACAATAAGAATCACGATTTAACCACGACAATGAATAATAATAAAATATCAAGATAAATATAAATTTAAGGCACATGCTAACGAGAATAGTGAACTAGTGTAATTAGATTGAATAAATTGTTACTCGTTTGATTGATCATCTTCATCAAAGTGACCACAATCATGAAATAGTTAAGAGTATGATGATGGAGAAAAGAAAAGTAAAAAAAAAAGAAGAAAAGAAAATGAAACCGTTCGATCGTCGATCAATTCGAAAAAGAAAATCGATTTATTATTATTTTTTCTTTTATTCTTTTCTACTTTCTTTTTTTTTCTTCTCTCGACAAAACATAAACTGACCACTACTCTCACAAATTGATAATTATCGTTTGAAAGTAAAATGTACTATTGATGATGAAAAGATGATAAAAGATGAGAGAGAATGTTAATCAGCCCACCGCCCTCACTTTCTATCATCAATGGAGAGAAATTTAAATTGGTCAGTTCGCTTTTTCTTTTTCATCTTCGTCTACTTTTAGCCCTTTTCTCACTCTCTCTTTCAATCATCATCATCTTTTTCATTTCTCTCTCTCTCTCTCTCATCTTCCTATTGTTTCCATCCTCATCTAACTCTCTCTTTTCTGTTCAACTTGTATTGAGAGAGAACACAATTAAAGTTAATTCAGTTCAACTGTCCCACTAACCTAATCAAACGAATCCTAATATTAGTCTATCTTCAACCTCCGGTCAACTCCCACTTTCGTTACATTGAATAAGATGAAGAAAAGAAAAATAAAAAAGTTCTTAATCATGATAATAATAACAATCTATTTCACTTTGGAACAAGTTTAAGGGCTTGACCATTTTTCTATTCGGGATTATCAAGGTTGTTAACCGACTTCATCGTCTTGATATTTAATCATCTCCTCATCTTCATCTTCATCTTCATTGTTTATCATCTTAATCATATGAAAGTGACATAGTTTTCACTTTATTCCGGGAGTTGAGATTCATTTTTATCCTTTTATTAACTGGCCATTCAACTCTTAACTTATTTATCTTCTTCATCTTCTTGACCAATCATTTTAAATTGACCATTTTTTCATCGCCATCATTATTATACTTGTTCAACCCTAATTATCATTACTATTGATACTTTATCTAAATATTGATGCATTGTAATTAGAAAGTTGTTCAAAAGTTTAATAACCTTTGAATGGTCATCATTATAATCAGATAACAATTTCACCAACAATTCAACTTTTAATCCTTTCGAAACTTTCTATTATTATTGTTGTTGTTATTCAATTTACTTTTACTATTAATTAGGTTGGAATAACGATTCATTGAAATGAAATTTCAAGAGTGAAAAGTTCATTTGAAATGGTTGATGGTCAAATCTGAAGCGAATCATATCAATTATAAGATGGATTTAATTTACATGGAATCTCAGTTGATGATTAATTATAGATTTTTTATTGTCAATGATAGTGAAAAGTTAATTGTTTTAGAATTTGAGTGTTTTTAGAATAATGGAAAAAGTTGTAAAATTGTTTTTCTTTTTGTGAGAAAAAAGTGATTATGTTTTTGGCGCTCGTTTGTTTAGTGTTTCGGTTATCCGGTAGATGGAAGAAAAAGTGATCACGTTCACAGCGGAAGTTGAGGTTTTAGATTTGGAGTTGGATTTGTTTTCTTAATTGTTTCTCAGTTAAATTGTCGATAATTAATTAATTAGGTGAGTTAATTTCCATTTCTATTGGTTATTGTGATGATCAGTGTCCTGGGTCATTGTTGTTGTTCATTGGATTAGTTATTCCAATTCTGATTGTGTCTTGGAATTGCTTCTAATCTTTGAGATTTTTAGTCTCTTGTTCACATTTCTTTCTCTCTTTCTCTCTCTCTTTTTCATATGTTGTGTTAATAGAAATTAATTTGTTTCTTCTTGTTTCTTTTTTTCTTTCTTTTAGATTGATCATCTATTGTGATTAATTAATTTGTTTTTTATTTGTTTGATTGTGAATTTAGTTAACCAAGATGACTAAAGTAAAGACCAAGGAGCTTCGAGGAAAGAAGCGAGATGAATTGTCTAAAAAGTTAAATGAATTCAAGCAAGAATTGGCAAACCTTAGAGTAGCAAAGGTTACCGGTGGAACAGCTTCTAAATTGTCAAAGATTAAAGTTTTCCGTAAAAATATTGCTAGAGTTTTAACTGTAATGTCTCAAAGTCAAAAGGAGAATTTGAGGAAATTTTACAGAAAAAGAAACGGATTCCAATTGATTTAAGACCAAAATTGACCCGAGCTAAGCGACGAGAATTAACACCAACCGAAAGCTCAAAGAAAACAAAAAGGCAAATGAGATCAGAAAGACGATACCCAAAAGTCAAATACTATTTGAAAGCCTAGAAAATTAATGATAACTAATGAAAAGAAAACAATTTTTTTTTCTCACAAACAATTAAGTTAATTGTAATAATGTGTTTGTTTCAATGTTTATTGAATAATAATTATCATTAAACTAACATGTTATACAACAACAACATTTTGTATTTTTAATATTTTTTATTCTTTTTCTTTGTTTTCTTTGTATAATTTTGTTGTTTTTTTTTCATCAGCTTTTTATCTGATCTTCATCAATACCAGGGATTCTCTCATTGAAATATAATATCAATCAATAGAATGAAATAGAATAGTATAGAGTAGAAACAATTAGAATCATTGCGAAAATGATTTAAAAAGAGGGTAGCAAGTCTTCTGGAAGTTTAGGTGTTAACAATTGTCGTAATTTAGCAATTAACGGTGGATCATCTTCCTCATCAGATTGACACTCGTCACTTTCATTATCATTTTCATCATCATCACCATTAGCATCTTTTTCTTGATTAGTTTTTTCATTATCATTTTCTTCATCATTCATTTGACCATTTCTACGATTTTTACGATTCCTACGATATTTGGCCTTGGAATGGGAGAAACCACGACCTTCCATCATAGTGTTGAGCAATAATTCTTGGGTGAAAAGACTTCGATCAATTTGTTCAGATTGATCAACAAGCTGACTATCAATTTCCAGGGTTGAGATTAATGGTGTAAACTGAGTGGTGGTCGATGTGGTGGTTGGTGTTGACGAAGAGGGTGTTGTGAACATGTTAGCTGCAAATGTTGATGGGGATGAAACATATTGCAAGGGTGGAGCGATTGTATTGCCAATTGTTGAGACACCTGAAGATGTGGTTGTTGGTGGTGTCCAAACAACCAGATAAGATGGAGGTAAATTACCTGGTGGGTGTTGTGATTGTTGAGTTGATTGACTTGAGGTACTGGCTATTGTTCTGTAAGGAAAATTAGGAGATGATTGTTGACCAGATCCTGAGGTTGATGATGATGTATGTTGATGTCTTCGAGATACTGATGATCTACTACTCGACTGTCGTTGACTACTTCCACGTCCACTACCGTGAATATTAATTCCACTATTACTTAAATCTGCAGCAGGTCCACTGCCACTTCCTCCACTTGATAAGCTTCCAATATTTCCTGAACCAGCGTTTCGTTCCTGCTGTAATTGCATGTGAAGTTGTTGTATTTGATTTGACTGAGATTGACCTAAATTTGCAGCTCGACGAACTCCAGATAAAGTAGATAATAATTCAGCTATTGGATCCATTGACTCTCCCCTACTTCCACTACTGGCAGAGAAACCTGGAGCAGCATGTAATTGTAATTGTGATCGCCTTGGTCTTCCACTAATACTTGGTAAAACACGAGCTGAATTAGGTCGAATATTGCGATGTTCTAATGCTAAATGGGTTGAAAAATCATCTGTAACATGAGCCGGTTCACAATCAGGTACAGAAGCACAAATTGGACAACTAACTTCCTGAGTTACCCCTGAATGTTCAAGTAAAACATGCTCATGTAAAGTTATCTCGGTAAAACCCATTCGTCCACAAAACGGGCAGGTAAACGAATAAGCCTGTTCCGTATTATATGGTTCACCACCATAGAATACCTCATAATCAGATCTCGTAAGAATACATTGCATTGCATGATTTGGATTATGTCCCGTTGCCCTGGCACCAGATTCATAACATTCAGCACAAAGGTCAAAATTTGGACAGTTTAAACACTTAAACCTTTTACCTCGAAAGTCACTTTTAAGACAAGAATCACAGCTAACACCATCATGTTGAGACATTTGGATTTATCAATGAAATTTGCTCACCAAATCAAATTCCAAGAACAATTTTTCAACACAAAAAAAAAATCAAAACAACAAACCCAAAGATTATCAATTCTTATCCAATGTTGACAAAATTGAGAATAAGTTTCATTCGTTATCCACCAGAGGGCGATTTCTACCCACGGCGGGTAAACTTGAAAAGAAATTGATTAAATCCACTTAACTGTGACAATTACGAACAATTAGCGATCAAATTATTTATTCTTTCCTATTTTCATCGAGTTCTAATCAAACGAAATTGTTGTCGTCAACATTTTGTCTCTTCTATTCGTGTTTATTTGTGAGTTAACATCGAGTGTCAGTCTTTTATTTTGACGAATATGTTGTTAGTAGTTCACTAGATGTCACTAGTCTCGACTCTTCGGTTTGGTTGATCATCTGGAAGGAAAATTTAATTTTGTTTTGAAGTGATTGTTGTGATTTAATTAACAGCGGAACTTTAATTTGTTTTACATTTTGTTTATTGGATTGATTGAATTTAGATTAGTCAGTTTTCCATTGCTCGTGGTGTTGTTTTTGGATTAATTGGTAATAAGTAAAATATTGTCTATTGATTTTCCTTTGATTTCTTAATCACATGTCTTTCTTTTTTTAATTTGGTCAACAGGATTTGAAATATTTTCGTTTTGATTTTGTTTTTTGGAAACATTGGTACAAAATGGAACCAGTTAAAAAAGCAGTTAAACATGATTCCGGTGTCGCTGATTTGGAAAAGGTTACTGATTATGCCGAAGAAGAGGAATTTTCTTCTCAAGATATTGCTGGAGCAATGAATCTTTTTGAAAGTCGACGTAATCTGGAAACTGCTAAGAAAAATGCTCGACAAAAAGAATTAGCTAAAGTGATTATCAAAAAAGAAGATGTGGAATTGATTGTTAAAGAATTAGATATTCCCAAGAGTGTTGCCGAGATGAAACTTAGAGAACATGGTGGTAATATCGTTGAAACTCTCATCACATTAACTGATTAGAGTTCTACAAATTCATAATCTAAATAAAAATTTACATTCATAATAATCATCAACATCAGGATATGGTCGATCGTCGCCTTATTTTCCTCAAAAGTAATCACCAGAAACTCAAATTGACATAGAGATAATCAAGAAAATATTTGAGACGAGAATGAGAAATCATCTGATGAGAAAATGATCAACCTTCAATTACTACAATTGTCATCATTTTCTCAATGATTCTATTCTATTTCATTCTATTGATTGATATTATATTTCAATGAGAGAATCCCTGGTATTGATGAAGATCAGATAAGCTGATAAATAAAAACAACAAAATTATACAAAGAAAACAAAGAAAAAGAATAAAAAATATTAAAAATACAAAATGTTGTTGTTGTATAACATGTTAGTTTAATGATAATTATTATTCAATAAACATTGAAACAAACACATCATTACAATTAACTTAATTGTTTGTGAGAAAAAAAAATTGTTTTCTTTTCATTAGTTATCATTAATTTTCTAGGCTTTCAAATAGTATTTGACTTTTGGGTATCGTCTTTCTGATCTCATTTGCCTTTTTGTTTTCTTTGAGCTGGTTGGTGTTAATTCTCGTCGCTTAGCTCGGGTCAATTTTGGTCTTAAATCAATTGGAATCCGTTTCTTTTTCTGTAAAATTTCCTCAAATTCTCCTTTGACTTTGAGACATTACAGTTAAAACTCTAGCAATATTTTTACGGAAAACTTTAATCTTTGACAATTTAGAAGCTGTTCCACCGGTAACCTTTGCTACTCTAAGGTTTGCCAATTCTTGCTTGAATTCATTTAACTTTTTAGACAATTCATCTCGCTTCTTTCCTCGAAGCTCCTTGGTCTTTACTTTAGTCATCTTGGTTAACTAAATTCACAATCAAACAAATAAAAAACAAATTAATTAATCACAATAGATGATCAATCTAAAAGAAAGAAAAAAAGAAACACAACATATGAAAAGAGAGAGAGAGAAAGAGAGAAAAAGAAATGTGAACAAGAGACTAAAAATCTCAAAGATTAGAATCAATTCCAGGACACAATCGGAATTGGAATAACTAATCCATTGAACAACAACAATGACCCAGGACACTGATCATCACAATAACCAATAGAAATGGAAATTAACTCACCTAATTAATTAATTATCGACAATTTGTCTGAGAAACAATTAAGAAAACAAATCCAACTCCAAATCTAAAACCTCAACTTCCGCTGTGAACGTGATCACTTTTTCTTCCATCTACCGGATAACCGAAACACTAAACAAACGAGCGCCAAAAACATAATCACCTTTTTCTCACAAAAAGAAAAACAATTTTACAACTTTTTCCATAATTCTAACTCGAGTTAGAATAATTAAAGATCTTTCATAAGAAATAATCATTCAATTATCAGAACGCAAATAATTAATCATCAAATCGTAAAATCAAAACACAACATTGAAATATCAAAATGACTCCAATCTCCAAAAAAAACGATAAAAATTTGATAACAATTGCGAAGGAAACAAATAAAAATAATCAACACTTCTAACTATTCAAGAAGCTGATCTTCAAGAGAATGTTCCATGATTGAAATGATTCGTTCGCAATTAATTAAACCATTTTTAATTCCATTGACAAAGAAATGCAAATGTTCAAATTTTGTTAGAAAATAGAATGAGATTTAAATCGATTTTCTCAAAATCGATTATTTCGATTAATCGAATTAAATAGAAAGAAAAATTTTTTCTTCTTATATCAACATTTCATCTTCTCTGTAAACTTGATATTATTTTTCACTTTGTCTCTCAGTGTATTTTTTAATTAAATCCTAGTGTTAAACCATAAACAATTTTGTTCTACTTTTTCTAATTGTAATTTGTATCTATTTTATATCAACGTTTGTTAAAAATTGTAAACCTTTAACACCTTTTGTTTTTGTTTATTGTTACACACCAACGGAACTAAAAGTAGAAGAAGAAGAAAAAGAAAAAGGTGAAAAGAAAACCGAAAAGAAAAGGAATAGAATAAAAAATAAGGAACAATTGAAGAATCAATTAAAGAGAATAGAATTTACAATGCAAGCTATTAAATGTGTTGTAGTCGGTGATGGTGCCGTGGGTAAAACTTGCCTATTGATCAGCTATACAACCAACGCCTTTCCTGGTGAATATATACCAACAGTGTTTGACAATTATTCAGCCAATGTAATGGTAGATGGTAAACCAATTAACCTTGGACTTTGGGATACAGCAGGACAAGAAGATTATGACAGATTAAGGCCTTTATCTTATCCACAGACTGATGTTTTCCTAATTTGTTTCTCTTTGGTCAATCCAGCCTCATTTGAAAATGTTCGTGCTAAATGGTATCCAGAAGTAAGTCATCATTCACCCAACACACCTATTATACTTGTTGGTACAAAACTTGATCTACGTGATGATTTAAAAACAATTGAGAAACTTAAGGAAAGAAAATTGGCTCCCATAACTTATCCACAAGCTTTAACCATGGCCAAGGAAATTGGTGCTGTTAAATACCTGGAATGCTCAGCTTTAACCCAGAAAGGATTGAAAGCTGTCTTTGATGAGGCCATTCGAGCGGTTTTATGTCCAGTGCCCAAAATTAAAAGGAAACGTCGATGTGTTCTGTTGTAGAATAGAAAAGTCAACCTTTTAAAATGAAGAGAAAAATATCTTAAGAAAAAAAGAGCCCAATGAAACGAGAATTTTGGAAAAGATGACTACTGCTCTCTCTCTCTCTCCTCTTTCTATCTAATTATCTCTCTCTATCTCTCTCTTTCTCTTTCTCTCTCTTCCCCTTTCCATTTTCTCTTACTCCTTCTTCCTATTTCTATAACAAATTTCTGTATATCTCTCATCCTCCTCCGCACTTTTCTATCTTCGTCTTCCTTTGCCTCTTCCTTTATCTCTCTTTTCTCTCTCTCTCTCTCTCTCTCTCTCTCTTTCACGTTCTCTCCCTCCTTTTATTTTCTGCTTAATTTTTTCTCTTAATTTCACTTTTTTCCCTTTTTTGTTCTTCCCATTTCTTCAAATTTATTGTATAACTATCTCAATTTTCTCTATCGCTTTATCTCTTTCACCTCCCGTCTCTTTTTCCTTTGACTTTCTCTCTTTATCTTCCTCCTCTGTCTCTCTTTCCTTTTCTTGTTCTCTCACTGTTAATTTTCATCAAGTCAATCAATTACGAATGATCATTGCGCTGACTGATGTATCTCTGAGGCCACAGATTAACCGAATTGAGACAGAAAATCAAAAGAAAAATAAATAAACGGATGATTCTAAGCTAAAAAAACAAAGTGATTAATAACAATTTGATTATTTTGTTGCTTTTTTTTCTTAAAACTTTAAAGTCTTTTTTTTTGTTTCGTTTTCCATAATTATATGTAATTTATATATATGATAAAGTTGGTGTCTTAATCCGTACGTGCACAGAGAGAAAGAGAGAAAGGAAGAGAGAAAGAAAATATAAGTGGATTAATCATTATAAAGAAAATCAGTTTTTTGTTGTAATTGTTGTTTCACTTGAGGTTGGATTTGTGTTTTTGGATTATGGTGACTAACACATAGATTTTTTTGTTTCAAAATTTTTGTTTTTGTTTTTGATTAAAAAGTAGAGCTTTCCGGTGGTTGAGTTAATTTCATATTTTCCTTAAGTGTCATTGCACGGCGAAGCTCTTGCAGAACAGTTTTTATGGAGTAATTTCTTTGCCACCTTGCTAATACAGGTATACTCCTACGGTCAACCTATTGTGTGTGAGAGGAGAGAGAGAGAGAGAGTAGAAAAGAAAATCGAAAATTAGATCTCAATTTTTGGCAACAAAACAAAACAATTAATGTTTTGTCATGTCGAATTATCTGTCATGGTTAAATGGGAGAACTTAAAATCGATCTTACAACTCCATTACTCTCGTTGACACCGTTCATTTTTATTTTGGAAATAAATCTAACATTTGGAGGCTCATCCGGATAATTTAAACCACATTCTACTTTAAGGCTGTAAATCCTATTTTCATATGGAGTCTGTGGTTAGAAAAGGAGAGAAAGAGAAAAAATAAATTAGAAGGTTTATACATATGATGTAAGTTTATGTTTGGTAAGAAAAACATGAAATAAATGATTAGTGATCATGTTAAGAAAATTATGGCGATCAACAGTTCAAAGTGATGGAATGATTATTAATAATGTTGTGGATGTTGATTTAGTATTAAATTGGGAACTAATTTGAAAACGAATCAAAAAAAATTTCATGAGATTTTCCAGATAGAATATATAAGCAGACAGAATATTCTTTTTTTTTTCGGTCCATGCACCAAGTTTTTTCTTCAGAATTTTGGGAAGAAAGGAAGAAAGATAAGAAAAAAACTAAACGAAACGAAACAGGGCAGAAAAAGTTGAACATCTACCAAGTAAAACGGGTAAATTTGATAACGAAACAAGAAAAATAGTTACCCTTGGAGGGCCAATAATCATTCCAGTCCATTGAGTTAACGTCATGTCGGAATCATCTTGAAGGCCCCAGCTGATGGTTCCATCACTGACACCCTTCTGGCCTTGTTCAAGTTCCTCTAATAATCTAAAGTTCCTTGGAACAACAACTGTTCCTGACATGTTGACTGACATGAGGAATTGTATTTATCTGTGTTTATATCGGAAGGAGAGAGAGAGAAAGAAAGAAAGAAAGAAAGAAAGAGCGAGAGAGAAAAGCGAATACCACCTTAGGAAGAAAAGAAAAGAAAAAGAAATTTTATAAAATGAAAAAAAATAATATCAAAATGAAGACAAAATAAAAGAAAAGAATAAAAAAAATAAAAAGAAAGAAAGAAATAAACAGACACACAGAGAGAAAGAGAGAAAAGATAAAGACAGAGAGAAAAAAAAGAGAAAGAGAGACGAAGAGAGAAAAGGAGAAGAGAAAAAGGAAAAAGAGAAAGAGAAAGAGAAAATGATACAGAGAATTAAAAATGATCCATTTAAAAAGGTAATGTAAACAATTGAATGGGTTTACTGATTAACCATTCCAATAGAATAATTAAATTGACTCACCTTAATAAATAATTAATTAACTAGAAAGATAAACGCACAATTAATAAAAAGAGAGAGAGATAAATAATTGAATTGGATTTTTCTTCAGCGTTGGTTAGATGGCGTGAGAGCTTCAAGCTGAGCTGAAGAACTGCTGTGGCGCCACCGGCGAATTCTAATCTCAGCTTATCATCGATTAGAAAGAGAAAAGAAAGAGAAACGGTTAACCGGTGGCGACACTTTTCGGCTTTTAAATGGAAATAATTTGTTTTCTCTCATAATTTTGGTTCGATTTAACTTGAAAATCTTAATTACAATTTAACAGCGGAAGTTGATGTTTTATCTTATTTCTGGTTTAATTTAATTTAATTTCTCTATTTCCAGTGTTACCATATCTTCATTTAAAGTCTCATTCGTTTAATTGTGAACAGTATTCGGGTGATTTGCTGTTATTTTATTTCTCTTTTTTGTTCACTTTTCTCTTCACCTCTCTGTTTCTGTTTGTGTTATTGCAGAATTTACAATATTGTCTTATTGATTTTGTTGTTTATTGAATTTTTGACTTTTATTCATTAATTAAAATGGAACAAATAACAGGTAAATTGAGTATTTATTTGGATTTTGAAAGAGTTCATTTATTGTTTAATCTTTACCTTTCTCATGGTTTCATAAGGAGAAATTTGGAGAATAGAATTTTTTCAAATTCTATTCTACGATTTTTTTTAAGGGTTAAGGTTAATTTGATTCTTTGTTTTTTTTTTCCTTCGTTTTCAGGTGATGAAGCATTTGTTACCCTTTCCACAAATGACAATTACTGCCTTGGTGCTCTAGTCTTGGCTCATTCTCTGAGAAACGTTGGTACTACAAGAAAATTGGTTATTCTCGTTACCCCATCAGTCAGCTCAGATATGAGGTTAATAATTTTTTTTCTTATCTACAAATACTGTTATTTAAATGTTTCTTTTTTTCTCTCTCTCTTTCTGATTGTTTACTGATAAATTATCAGAGGTTTACTAATATTTTTTTTCTTCAAGGACATTCGAAAAGATTATATGCTCGAGGTCATTTCTCAACGAGTTTTTACTTTCCCCGTCTTTCTTTTCTCTCTTTCTGATTGTTTACTGATAAATTATCAGAGGTTTACTAATATTTTTTTTCTTCAAGGACATTCGAAAAGATTATATGCTCGAGGTCATTTCTCAACGAGTTTTTACTTTCCCCGTCTTTCTTTTCTCTCTTCCATTCTTGCCTCTCCCTTTTTTTCCAATGAATCTTATGCTTTTTTCCATGTATCATCCACCAATCATACCTGTTCTCATGAAGCTTCTATTCCTATGTCATTACTAATTGATTAATTTATACCCTTTTAAGGTGTTTTTCACTAACCATCATCATCATATCATTTGATTTCCTCCTCTACGATTGTCATTGTCAATGTTATCCTTTTTTTGATTCGATTCCTAATTATTACTACGAAGAAAAGGGAAAAGATCATTACAAGACAAATGTTCTCTCCCAAATTCTTTAACGTTTTTTAACCTCGCCCTAGACTTGATTCAAAATTAGATTTGAAATTTCATTCATAACTGATTAGTTTCTTTCCATTGAACCAGAAACATTGCCTCAAATTAATACTGTTTGACAATTATTTCTTATAATCCTAATCTCTTTTCTATTATATCAGAAAATGTTTATCCAAAGCCTATGACCTTGTCCAGGAAGTTGATGTTATGCACAGTAATGAACATAAAATACTCGAAGTTATGAAACGACCAGAATTAGGAGTTACCTTAACCAAACTTCATTGTTGGCGATTAACACAATTTAAAAAGTGTATCTTTATGGATGCTGACACCTTAACCTTAAAAAATATTGATGAGCTTTTCCAAAAAGAAGAATTATCCGCTGTTTGTGATATCGGTTGGCCTGATTGTTTTAATACAGGTCTTTTCGTCTTTAGACCAAGTGAGCAAACCTTTGCCAATCTGTGTGCACTTGCTTCCGAAAGTGGTTCATTTGATGGCGGCGATCAAGGATTATTGAATACCTATTTCTCTGATTGGTCTACCAGTGATATTTCAAGACATCTCTCATTCATTTATAACATGAGTTCAGTTTCAACTTACTCTTATCCTGCTGCATACCAGAGGTGAGGAAAAAGGATGTCAACGGAAAACATTCAATTATAAATATACAATTTATATTATATTCATTGTATATTTAGTAACATCAACTGTTTCCTCTTGTGATTCCCCTTGTCATTAGACTTCATCTTTGTTTTTCTGTCGTTGATGCAGATTTTATTGTTGACGTTGTCGAGAATTTTTTTTCAAAATCAATGTTTTCTTCTTGAAGGTAGAATCACACATAGAGAGCGAGAGAGAGAGAGATAGAGGAAATAATTGATTCGAATTTTTCATTTTATTGTATCTTCTAAAGTGTATCCATTTTTCTCTCTCCAGGAAGAGAGAAAAAATCAAGGAAGAATGATGTTTCAGTTGAAGAAAGAGGTTTTCTGTTCAAAACATTCTATCTATTTTTGTCATTTTCCGTTTCTAATTATATCTTATTTTTTTTTCTTCATGTCTTTTCATCCATTTCTGGATCATCTCTATTTTTCTCGTTTAAAACCATGGCTATGTCATTCTTTTCATCATTCTCCTTCTCCAATTAACAAATTTTTGGCTTTCCATTGATGATCATTGATACATGTGAATTCAGATTTGGTGATACCGTTAAAGTTGTCCATTTCCTTGGTGCTCTCAAACCTTGGATGTATGGTTTCAATGCAATGACCAGGAAAGTTATACCACCCGCAATTGGATCACAGACACAACAATTGGAACACGTTCAAAAATGGTGGGACGTTTTCATCAACCAAGTTCAACCTTATCTGTCTTCCGACTGTGTGAGTATTAATCGAGGTTCATTGGTACGATTCTCAAAAATTGAATGTACTGAATGGTCCTGGGCTTAAAAGAATACACCAAATTTGCTTTTTGAAAGTGTCATTGAGTCAAGGAGATTAATTTGAAGAGCAGAAACTACGGAGGATATAAGTTAAAGGAAAAGAGCAACTCAAGTTAACCCCCACCTAATCTAAAGAAATCAAATTAATCCTCCAATCATTTACTATTTGTCTTTCACGCTTTTTTTAAACACTCAGCTATTTATCCACTGAAAAAGTACTTCAACAATTGTCTTAATCAGTTAATTTAATTTCAAAAACTCCACGAGTTAATCTTTAATTTATATATAAAAAGCTTCACTTAATTTCATTTTATCATTAAGTGGATGAAAACAAAGTTAATCAAATTAGATTGATAAGTTTTCAATTGTTTGAACTAATCAAGTGAAAGATTCCCTTTATATTTGATTTATGCTCACTCTTTTTTGTTAATTGTCTCTTACCTAACATTTGATTCCCATTCAATCAATTTGCTAAATTATCTAGTGTCTCTGTCTCCTTGTTTCTTACAATTAGCTGATCACTTTAATTTGCCAATTGATTTTTTATTCATTATCTTTTGAAGGATAATCAGTGATTAAATTTCTCCATGAAATTAACTGCTTACCATCAATTTTTTTCTGTTTGACTGTTGCTTGCTTTGTTAATTGTTGCCTTTTTTTCTGCATGCCGTTGATTGTCTCAATGATTATCATTAATCATTTGCTATTATTAGGTTTTGCTTTTCAATTTGCAAATATTTTCTTCGACCTCATAGGCTGGTATATTCACTAAATTTGGTAAATCTACTTCACATGAGTCGCAACATTTAACCAATCAAGATAATAATGATTTGCATGTTAATGATGATAATGATAAAGATGATAACACCTCAATCCAAAGGGATAATACTATTATTCTAATTAAAGAATCGGAGGTAATCCAAACCAATCAGACAATTAAAGACAACACTGACAACCGGAATAAGCTTAATTATGTTGATGCAACACCTTCACCAACCCTAGACGATAATAATTTAACAATTAACACAATTATCTCATCGCAAACTAACACTTCTAATGAAAACATTGTAACAAATGTTAATAATTTAAATGATGATAAATTGTTAGACAAAAGACTTAAAGCTTGGGAGAAAAATTCAATGGATTATCTGGGTTTAGATAGTTTTGATAATATTCAGGCTAAACTTAATCAGGCTATCGGATTAAAAAATTTACCTCATCTAATTAATAGAGATAAACAATCAGCTAATCAGCAAAGCTCAACAAAATTAAGCAAACTATCAACTCCATGTAATAGCTTAGACCTCTCGGTAGGTAAACTTATTCAAATTTCTCTCTCAATCTACTTTCATTCGCAAATTTACAATTCCACTAATTTATTAACATTCTGATTCAATTTTTTTCATTCTATTCTATTTTTCCTCTTTCTCTCTCCTTATTCTTTCTCTCTCTTTTCAAGATTCTCTCTCATATTCTCTTGATTAACTAATTTACTTGACTCTTCAATCTTTGAATTTCCACTCTTGAAACTAATACATTTATCTTTTTCAATTCTAGTCTGGTTTGGCTTCGCAATTAGCTAAATTACGTCTTGATTCACCAACTGATAGTCATTATCCTGGAATCATTGGAAACTCTGCTCACCTTGATGATTACAGTCGTAAACGAGCCTGGGAAGCTGGTTCAGTTGATTACTTGGGTGTTGATTCATTTGAAAACATTCAAAAGAAACTTGATCAAGCCATTGGTGAAAATCCTTACTTTTTACCATCTGAAGAATCATTTGAAGGAACCAGTGATGATCAACCAGCTTCATCATCACAACAACAGCAACAACAATTACAACCCACCGAGGAAATACCTTCATCATCAGCAACAGAACAACAATCAACTGAATAAACCTGAAGAAGGAAAATTACTAAATACTTCTCTTCCTTCCCACTCATCACTCGGACATCATCAATGTTATATCTTTTTTCCTACTTCTATCATAGATTATCTTCTCCACTTCCACCCTACCCACCTTCTTATAAGAACCTCACTCCCTCCTCGATATACTATTATTATATACATATTTTAACTTCCATTCTAAGAAATTGAATCGAAAAGTGCCTAAAACAATCAGCCAAACAAACTGAAAAATTCTGAATCTTACCAGTTCTAATTAGTCATTTTCTTTCTTAATCGACAAGACTCAATTTGATTGTTTTCTTGTTTATTAATCATTACTTTTCCTCTTACAATTGCCAATCTTCAGCCTTCACTTTACCTTTTTTCCCCTGAAAATCATTACACATCGAAAATTTATCTCAACCCTTTGGATACATGAAATGATTCAAGCTTTGCCATTAATCTTTATTGAAATTAGATTTAATTGTTTTTACATAAGCACTTAATCAATTGTTAAATTTTTCTTTGTTCTTAACACAATGTTGTTTTTTTCTGCCAATTCCTTTGCCCTTTTCTTTGCTCTCTCTCTCTCTCTCTCTCTCTCTCTCTCTCTCTCTCTCTCTTTTCTTGTCTTTTTCTCACTCGCTCTATCCTCACCTTATACCATTCAGAGGATTAAATTGATTAGAAATTGTGATAATCAATAATCTTAATTATGGAAAAGTCATTATTTATGAATCAATGAAAATATTTATTGTATCAGAAGGCAATATTAAGGAAACAATCAACTAATCAAAAGGATTAATATTAATAGTTAATCTTAAATCTTTATCCAGCTGATACAAGATTAAGAAAATCTAAATTGTTACTATTCATTTGTTGACAAAATCTTTAATTGTATCATCTAATTGTGATTGTGAAAAGCCAATAACAACAATTTATATAAATATCTATGTAATAATAATAATAATAATAATTAATACAAATGTTATTAAAATGATGCAATGGCCAAAAAATATAATTTGTTGATCTGAAGTGTGAGAGTGATAACATTTTTGTAACTAATCAAATCAACAATTAACTCGCTAATCAATAAACTTAGATTTTATGCTCTCAATTAGTATCAATTTTAATTAATCTAAAATGACATTTAATCAATGACAATCAAAATTCATCAAGTTAGTAACTAATTAATTTTTAATTAATGTGAATTTGATTAGTAAATTGTGATTAACTAATCAACAACTTATGGTATTATCATTATTTAAACGATTAAGATTAATAAAAACGCTTTGATTAACTTTAATTGCAAATTAATTAGTGGCAAAGATAATTAAGTAAATAAAGTTACGATTAAATTGTAAACAATTGCTAATTGTTTGGCTGATTAACTAAATTTAAGACGATGAGTTTAATCAAGTTCAAGTTAACTTGCTGAGTCGGTCCAGTGTTAATATTATTACTGGAGATAAATTTAACTCCCAACTAAATTAAACTAAATCACATCGACTCAGATAACAATCAGTTGATTATCAACAAGTTGATCAAACAGTTTACATTGAACTTGTAAATCAAAAGTTATCATTGAATAAAAAAATGATTTAACAATTAAATCAATTGTCAAAAATGAGCTTACCGATTATTGAAATTGTAAAACAATGTTTTCAGATATTTATCATCATGGGCAACAATTAACATCACAATTAACTATCATTAATAGTAGACTCAACTTGAAGCCGTTGCAATTGAATGCTAATCATTTACAGTTAATCATCACAATTATTATAAGTGATTTAAATTGTTTGCGAACTCAATTAAGTGATTGTTTTGTTGATCTAAAAAACTACAAAAATGGAGTCAAAACTATTCAATGGATTAACTAATTGTCGTCTCATCTTTAATTGTGGACAATTAACTCACTTTCAATTGATATGGTGCAACATTATGAGTTCAATGATCAAGTTAATTGTAATGAAAGTTATCTCGTTTACTTCATAATTAACAATGATTCAATTAAAATGAATACAAGTTATCCGGATGAAGGTGATTCCTTATTAACTAATAAGAGCTTTAAAATTGGACTAATTGTTTTCTACATTTTGATATTTTTCTCAACATTTGTTGGTAAGATAATTAACTAATTAACTAATAACTAATAATTATTGATCTTTAAACAATTAACTAATAGCTCAATTCAAAAATCAAGCCTATCAATTTCAATTTGGTTGAATGAAAACTTTTCCCCTTTCACTAATTGTTAAGTTTAATTGATTAGTGTTGGATAAATTTGTCTGAATTTGCAATTAACTGATTTCAATTGATGACAATCAACAAAGTTAATCAATTTGATTGATTTGAAAATCTTACTAGTTGTTTATTTACTGTAATTAATTGTCACGATTTGCTTGAACAATTAAGGATTAATTTGTTTTTGTGAAAAGTTTTATTATTATTAATATTTACATTTACTTTTGTTAATTCAATTGTTTACTTAAATTGTTACGTTACTTTAATTATTATCCAATGATTAGGTAAGTGTTTTCAATGTTATTCAGTCAATGAAATGATTAAATAATCAATGAAATCAAACAATTGAGCTAATTATTGATCTAATTTTACCTTTAACTTTGATTGTAAACATCTTACCAATACTTGTAGTAACCAATTAGTCTCAATTAAATTGTAACAATCAAAGAAATAATATAATTTTATTTACCTTCTAAATTAAGATAATAAGAAAAATAATTTAATCAATTGTGCCACTGGTTAATTATAAACATTCAAAGAGTAAACAAAATAGTTGATTAAATCCACGTACAATTAACTAATTGTAAGAAAACCAAATCAACAATAACAACCTAATGAATTAAACTTTACTCTCAATGAGATTTAATAATAAAAAAAAAATTTATTCCAATACAAAGTTAATTAACTTGAACGATGAAAGCTCATTGATTAATCCGAAAATTTTGATAATCGCTAATCACATATCAACTAAATCTCATCGCTTGATTGTTCATAAGAATCTCGATCAGTTAAATTGCAATCGAATTATTATTGTTAGAGTAGATCGTATTTAGAATAGAAAATAACTTTAATAGGTAAATAATCAAGAAAGGGTATAAGGGGTAAATTATAATAGTTGAAGGTATAACGTTTATGTTTTAACAAAGGTGAACTAAACTTAACTGGTTACTTGTATATTGCCTACACAAGACTTTATATACAAAAGGTAAAGGTTACCTTGGTCAAGGTGACAAAGGTGAATTCACCTTAACGACAAAGAGGGGAATCAACTAATTGATTCTAACAATGTACTTGAATGTACTTAGGGTTGACGTTACATTAGAATCTTCTAGATCCTAACACCGTCCCTTAACGTAAACCCAATTCTTTCGTGAATTTCTCATGTTTAGTACGTCCGAGGGCCTTTGTGAAAATGTCAGCAGTCATTGCGTCAGTGCTGAGATGCGAAACCTTTATGTTTCCTTCCTCGACGTGTTGACGTACATTGTGTACTCTTATTGATATGTGTTTGGTACGTTTGTGGAACAACGGGTTTTCTGTTAATTTTATTGCTGACGTATTGTCATTAAAAATAACCAAGGGCAGACTGACGTTCCTACCAAAACCAATCTCACTTATCAATTGCTTTAGGTATATTGCTTCATTAGTAGCCTCTGACAAAGCGGTATATTCACTTTCAGCTGAACTTTGTGCCACAATTGATTGCTTCTTTGAATTCCAGGCAACACAGCCATTGGCTAACTTGAAACAATATCCAGAATAACTTTTACTGTCTTTATTGTCCGAAGCCCAATCCGCGTCGACGTATCCTACCAATCCAACGTCGTCAGCGTCACGTATTTCAACGTCACTCGAGATACAATCAAAATGAAGAGACAAATTCATTGTGCCTTTCAAATATCTTAGGACTCGTCTTGCTGCATTCCAATGATCGGACGTTGGACTTTGGCTAAACTGTGCTAGTCGATTGACAGCGAATGTAATGTCCGGACGTGTGTTCAATGATAAATGTAACAATGATCCAATCAAGCTCCGATACTGTTGAGGATCAACTTCAGTACAATTTTCATTCGGAATTTCAAGTTTGACATTCAATTCCATTGGAGTTTTAACTGCCTTACAATCTCCCATTTGTTGGCTCTCTAGTAACTTAGTGATCGCATATTTCTGTGACAGTTTGATCACTTTTCTCGATGGTCTCTCAATTTCAATACCAAGAATATATTTCGATTCTCCTTTGTCGCTTATATCAAATACCTCTGCCAACTGTTTCTTTAAGGTATCAATAGCGTTAACGTCATCAGATGCTATCAATAAGTCATCGACGTAAACAGCGAGTATTAAATTGTGACCATTAACGTTGCCAACGTACAAACATCTCTCAGTTTCGCATCGTACCAACTTCAATGACGTAAGGACTTCATGAAGCTTTGTGTTCCACTGACGTCCACTCTGCTTCAGTCCATACAAAGAGCGATTCAACTTGCAAACGTAATCAGGATGTTCTCCATGAACGAATCCTTCTGGCTGGTCCATATAAATCTCTTCACTTAACTCTCCATTCAGGTAAGCAGTAGAGACGTCCACTTGATGAATATGGTAACCATTCTGAACAGCAAGTGCAAATAGTAGTCTAAGTGATTCAGGTCTTACGGTAGGTGAGAATGTTTGATCGTAGTCAATACCATAACGTTGACTGAATCCACGTGCTACTAATCTTGCCTTAAACTTATCAACTCTTCCATCCTGATGAAATTTCACTGCAAACACCCAACGTGATCCAATTGTCTTTTTCTTTGGTGGTAACTTAATCAGATCCCACGTTTTGTTTTTATAGATTGACTTTAGCTCAATCTCCATTGCTTTAATCCATTCTTTTGCGTATGGAGATGCCAGTGCTTCCTTAACGTCTCTTGGAATGGTAATTTCATCTTTGATGTTTGATAACTTGTCACTGCGACTTCGTGTACTATAGTTATGCTGACCTGGTGTACTTGGCTTTCTGGGAACAGGAGGATCTGTTTTTCTTGGACGACCTGGTTTCCTCCTCACTGGCTGACTCTCTACGTCCGCGTTAGCGTCAGCGTCAGTGTTGACTGAAGTTGTTGTGACTGACGTCACGTCACCCAGAATCTCTTCAACTTCACAACTTACGTCCTCTTCAGCGTCAGTCTCAATATCAGCGAAAGATATTGTGACTTCGGGCTTAGCTTCAGTTGTCACATCATCAACGTCACACAATTCAACTAATGAATTTTCGTTGACTGACTTATCCTCTCCTGACAACTGAGGCTCTGACGTTTCAACACTGACCATATCGTTAACTGGCTCTATGAAACGTACGTCTCGACTGTATTTTGACTTGAGACTATTCATATCCAGCATCCGATATCCTTTGTTGGTATCACCGTAACCAACCAAAATCATTTGCTGACCCTTTTCAGCAAATTTATGTTTACCATGACGTTTATCCAAAACATAACCCACAGATCCAAAGATACGTAAGTGACGTAAATCAGGCTTACTACCTTTCCAAAGCTCAAACGGCGTTTGTCTTTCGTTTGCTTTGTTGATGACTCGGTTACGTATATAAGTAGAGAAACAAATGGCTTCGGCCCATAAGCGCAAATTGTGTCGTCCATCTGACAAACAGCTTCTAGCCATCTCTACCAACGTCCTATTGATACGTTCAGCAACACCATTTTGCTGAGGAGTATAAGCGCAACTCAACTCGTGACGTATCCCTTTTTCTCTAAAGTAACCTTTCAACTTCGAATACTCTAGTCCGTTGTCTGTTCTAAAGGTTTTCAACTTTTCTCCAGTTTGTCTTTCCACTTCAGTTACCCATACTTTGAATGTATTCACGACTTCATCTTTGAATTTAATTGGATAGACCCAAACATAGCGACTGAAGTCATCAACGAACGTTACAAAATACTTGGCCCCTCCAAGTGATTCAGTTGCTATAGGTCCACATAAGTCCGAATGTACCAATTCAAGTTTCTGAGTTGAACGGGTGACTGACGTTGAATACGTTAGCTGTGACGCTTTACACTTCAGACACGTATCACAATCGCTGGACGTGCTGACGTCAGTGTGAAGCCCCGTCACTGCTCCATTCTTGATCATTTTCTCAATGTCACCAATGTTTACATGACCAAGACGACGATGTAACAACGTTAAATCAATCCTTCTCCTTGAGCTATGAAGGTGGGATAATCTTGTTGCATTTATACACTTGACAAACAAACTCTCAACGGCTGAGAATGTAATCAGATTTTTCTTGTTTGTTGAAATAATTTTAGCACAACGATTACTAAAAATGACTTTCATATGTTTTTCCGTTGCTCGAGAAACAGAAAGATAATTAACTGTCAACTCAGGTACCAGAAGCACTTCTTGTAGAGTAATTGAATTACCATCCACGTTTAGTTTCACTGTACCAATACCACTGACATTTAATTTTCTTTCATCAGCTAACGTCACTGTACGTCCATAAACCTTTTCTGATTGACAAAAGTAATTAACGTCACAACAAATATGAGACGTCGCTCCACTATCTAAGATCCAGGTTGATTTCTCCATCTTTTGGTTTCCATCAAATGATCTTAGCTGAAAAACGCTATCACCTTTAGTCTTTTCACTTTGTTTATCTGACTTTTGACAATTAGCAGCAATGTGTCCAAACTCATGACATTTATAACATTTTCCTTTGAATTGCCTTTTACTTTTCTTTCTTGAGTCAGAACGTATTCTTAGTACGGACGCTGACGTCGACGTGGTGACGTCTTGTTTCTTTCTCTCCTCTTCTTCCAAGAGTTTAACTTTAATCACTGAAACCGACGGCAATTCATCACGAGATGACATGGCAACCACAAAGTTCTCATATGAGTCTCCAAGACTAACTAATAGTAAAACGGAAAGACACATATCTGGAAGTCTCATTTCCAAAGTCATCAATTGGTCTATCAACCCCATAAACGTATCCAAATGCTCGTGCATTGGTTGTCCAGGTTGAATCCTTAATGTTACCAATTTCTTAAACAAATTCACCAAGCTCGCTGGTCCTGTCTTAGCGTGAGCCTTTTCCAATTCAT